CCTTGGACAACCATTTTGCCTTCCTGCATTTGCTTTTCTTTGGGATGATTTTGGTCAGTGCCTCTTTTACAGTGTTATGAACCTCTGTCCACAGTTCTTCAGGCACTCTCTTGAATGCCTGAATCTTGACCTCATCCCTTGATTCTATTTATCACCTTAATTGCATAATCATAAGGGATTTGATTTAGGTCATACCTGAAAGGCCAACTGGTTTTCCCTACTTTATTGAATTTAAGCCTGGATTTTGAAATGAGGAGCTGATGATGAGCCACAGTCACCTTCAGGTCTTGTTCTTGCTAACTGTATAGAGCTTCTCCATATTTGGCTGCAAAGAAGAGAATCAATTTGATTTTGGTATTGACCATCTGTTGATGTCCATGTGTAGCGTTGTCTCTTGTTTTGATGGAAGAGACTGTTTGCTATGACCAGTGTGTTCTCTTGACAAAACTGTGTCAGCCTTTGCCTTCTTCATTTTGTACTCCAAGACCGACTTGCCTGTTACTCCAGGTATCTCTTGACTTCCTACTTTTGCATTCCAATCCTCTATGATGAAAAGGACATACTTTGGGGGTGTTAGTTCCATGTCTTGTAGGTATTCATAGAACCAGTCAACTTCAGCTTTTTTGACATTAGTGGTTTGGGCACAGACTTGGATTACTGTGATGCTAAAAGACATTATGCTAAGTGATATAAGCTAGTCACAGAAGGACAAATACTGTATTTGTTCCACTTATATGAGTGGAATAGTGAAATTGGTAGACACAGAAAATAGAATGGTGGTCCCAGGGCCTGGGGGAGGAGGATGTTATTGTTTAATGGGTACAGGGTCTCAGTTTTACAAGATGATAAGAGACTGGAGGTGGATGGTAAAAACGGTTGCACAATAATGTGAGTGTAAACCCCTTGTTGCAGTAGAAGTGGCTAAAGTCACTTGTACCATGCAAAAGAGGTATTTATTCTCTTGTATAACTACTAATTAATTCATTATATATTATATTATATAAAATTCAACATCGATTTATGATCTTTAAAAAAAGCCCTCCAGAAAGCAGGCATAGAAAGAACACATCTCAACATAATAAAAGTCATATATAATAAACCCACAGCAAACATTATCCTCAATGGTGAAAAATTAAAAGCATTTCCCCTAAAGTCAGGAACAAGACAAGGGGGCTCACTCTCACCACTACTATTCAACATAGTTTTGCAAGTTTTAGCTGCAGCAATCAGAGAAGAAAAAGGAATAAAATGAATCCAGATTGGAAAAGAAGAAGTAAACCTCTCACTGTTTCCAGATGACATGATCCTCTACATAGAAAACCCAAAAGATACCACCAGAAAATTACTAGAGCTAATCAATAAATATAGTAAAGTTGCAGGATATAAANACTTACATATTTTAGGGTTGGAAGTTTGAACTTCCTAATTCACTTTGCTTATTTCATCCATCCCTCCATCACCTTTTGTCTGACAACCACCAGTTTCTGTTTCTATAATTCTCTCTATGAGTCAGTTTCTCTTTTGTTTGTTCTTTTGTTGTCTGTTTTATTTATTTATTTATTTTAATTTACTTATTTTTATTGGAGGCTAATTACTTTACAATATTGTGGTGGTTTTTGCCATACATTCACATGAATCAGCCATGGGTGTACATGTGTTCCCCATCCTGAACCCCCCTCCCACCTCCCTCCCCATCCAATCCCTCAGGATCATCCCAGTGCACCAGCCCTGAGCACCCTGTCTCATGCATTGAACCTGGACTGGTGATCTGTTTCACATATGATAATTTACATGTTTCAGTGCTATTGTCTCAAATCATCCCACCCTTGCCTTCTCCCACAGAGTCCAAGAGACTGTTCTATACATCTCTGTCTCTTTTGCTGTTTAGATACCACATGTAAGTGAAGTCATGTAGTACTTGCTTTTCTCTGTCTAACTTATTCCAGTTAACATAATACCCTTTAGATGATGTTTTATCATCCCTCAAGTCTTTAACAGAAATTGCTCCATACGTAGGTATAGATCCAGTGTGTCTGTGGGAGAGGTAAGCTCAGGGTCTTCCTATGCCACCATCTTAGAGTTCTCTTGATGATATTCTTAATTTAAAGTTGGAATATTACTCAGCCATTAAAAAGAATACATTGGAATCAGTTCTAATGAGATGGATAAAACTGGAGCCCATTATACAGAGTGAAGTAAGTCAGAAGATAAACACCAATATAGTATACTAACGCATATATATGGAATTTAGAAATATGGTAATGATAACCCTATTGCAAGACAGCAAAAGAGATACACAGATAAAGAACAGACTTTTGGACTCTGTGGGAGAAGGCGAGGGTGGGATGATTTGAGAGAATAGTATTTAAACATGTATATTATCATATATGAAATAGATCGCCAGTGCAGGTTCAATGCATGAGACAGGGTGCTCAGGGCTGGTGCACTCGGATGATCCTGAGGGATGGGATGGGGAAGGAGGGGGGAGGGGCGTTCAGGATGGGGGACACATGTATACCCATAGCTGATTCATGTCAATGTATGGCAAAAACCTCTGCAATATTGTAATTAGCCTCCAGTTAAAATAAATTAAGTTTTTTAAAAATGAAAAACGTCTTGCCCTAACAGAAAGGTTTCCGTTAAATTAAAGACAATTACACCCCACATGCAGGTTGTTTTTAATATTGTTCTAGATGCTGGTGCCTGCTATGGTTGTGTTCAAAGACCTAATCCCACTTTGTTTGAAAAAGGGATTACCAAGTTCCAGAGAAGTGTTAAAAGCACTTTAGATCCAACTTTCTCCTTGACAGATTCAGAAGGAAGGGCCCAAAGAAAGCTTTAAAGAGATGCACTTTCTCTCCAACTGATTTAATAGGGTGGTGTTTCTGGGTCTCTATAAAGATCTCTCGTGCCAGGAGGCATAGGCACCTTACACTTTGAAAGACCTTTGTAAGGACAAGTGAGTAGGGGGCATGAGTTTCTCAAGCAGGGGCAGGGCAGGGCAAGTTAAGAGACAAGAGCAGAGTAAGAAAACCCTCACTAGGGAAGAGCCTACTATGTAGGCCCTAAGTGGTCCAGGGCTGTTTGGAAAGGGAATCCTGGCTCTCAGTGCCTGAGCAGGGGTACTTTGAGTCCAAGGACTCCTTGCCCTGAGAGGGGTCCAGCTGTGAGAGAGTCTCCTTAAATACAGGGCCTAGGATTGTGACCTGGTTGCTTAATTTGTTGTTGTTGTTGTTGTTGTTGTTCAGTTGCTAAGTTGTGTGTGACTCTTTGGGATCCCATGGACTGAAGCACACCAGGCTTCCCTGTCCTTCACTATCTCCTGGAGTTTGCTCAGATTCATATTCATTGAGTCGGTGATGCTCTCGAACCATTTCATCCTCTGCTGCCTTCTTCTCCTTTTGGCTTCAATCTTTCCCAGCATCAACGTCTTTTCCAGTGAGTCAGTTCTTCCCATCAGGTGGTCAAAGTATTGGAGCTTCAGGTTCAGCATCAGTCCTTTCAATGAATATTCAGGATTGATTTCCTTTAGGACTGACTGGTTTGATCTCCTTGCAGTTAATTACTGTATGCAAGTAAATAAAATGCAGTCTCAAGACAGGGCATGGACGAGACAAACAAACCTGGTGGGGATAGAAGGAAAGAAACTGGAGGAAGAACTTGTTAAGAATGTTGATAAGGCAGCACCAGTGGACATCTGATGTGTTGGCCTGAACTGCATCTATGCCCTTTCACTGGAAACAGCAGCTCACCTTTCCTTTCAGAAGTAGCCTCTCTGATTCTCAGTACTTTTGGCTGTGCAAGGCTGACTTCATCCCCTTGCCACCACAGAAGGCAGGAGATCCAAGCTTGACTAGTCAGAAGATACCATCCTTCCTCCCCGTCCTCAGTTGCTCAGTTGTGTATGACTCTTTGTGAGCCCATGGAGTGTAGACAACCAGGCTCCTCTGTGCATGGGCTTTTCCTGGCAAGAACACTAGAGTGGCTTGCCATTTCTTCCTACAGGATCTTCCCAACTCGGGGATCAACTGACATTTCCTGTGTCGCCTGCACTGGCAGCCAGTCTTTACCACTGAGCCACCTGCGAAGTTCCCTTCCTCTCCACTTCATCGCAATGATGAGTGTACTGCCCACTAACATATAAACTCCTGAACTCAGCTGCACCTGAAGCTAGAATCCCCCCTTCCCTTTCATCTATGCTTTAGAAACGTCCACAGCTTAACTGACATGGACTGACACGGGGTGTGTGTGTGTGTGTGTGTGTGTGTGTGTGTGTGCTGGGGGAGGGAGGTGGAGGGAGGAGCGAGCCTCACCATAATGCCTGTCTTGTCCAGTGCCTCTGGAGATTTCATCTAGTCTGTAGATGTCCTTTCCGAATAACTCAGATAAGAGCCGGGTCCAGTGAGCTCCGTACTCTTAATTGCACAGAAGCATTCCCCACCCCCTCCCGAGATGCCCATTACAGGACTTGGAGGTGACCAGCTGAAATGTGAAATCCCACAGACATTTAATTTTAAAAATAATTTTAAAGTTTTAGCTATTTTTTCTTTTGTATCCTCATCTCAAACTCTTCCACAGGGTCTTGGAAAGCCCCCAGGCTCCAAGCCAGACGCGCGTCCGGCCTGACGTACAAACATGGCCGGGTGCGGGGCAAGGGAGCGCTGGCGCTTGCAGGGCCCTCGTGCCGGCGGGCGGGAGTCGACAGGCGCTCGCGCGCATGCGCAAGAAGGTGGGGCTGAGTCCCAGGCCTGCGCAGTGCCACTCCACAGGCACGGGGCGGGGCGGCGGGGAGCGCGCGCCTGAGGCGGCCGCCGGGCGTTGAGGAGTTGGTGCTCCGGAGACCTTCCTTCGGGCGCATGTTCCCCGGGTGCGTCCTCACGAGGCGCCCCCACTCGGCGGGACCGGGCCAGGGGATGGAGTGGGCCCGCCGACACGGCCCTGGAGGGACCCAGAGGAGACGACCGCGCGAGCCCTGACCCGCCGTCCTCGCCGAAGCGCCCATGGGCGCGTCCCTGCGGGCGGGCCGTGGCTCTGAGGGTGGCGAGAGGCGGGGCCGCGGCGCCGAGGAGGGTTTCGCTCGTGCCCGGCCCCGCACAGGCCGCGCAGGGCGGACAACGCGAGCCAGGAGTACTACACTGCGCTTATCAACGTGACGGTGCAGGAGCCCGGCCGCGGCGCCCCGCTTACATTCCGCATCGACCGCGGGCGCTACGGACTCGACTCGCCCAAGGCCGAGGTCCGCGGCCAGGTTCTGGCGCCGCTGCCTATCCATGGAGGTGAGTGCCTGGCAGGGAAAAGAGAAGCCGTGGAAGGCGGAGGGGGGCAGGGTTTGTCCGCATCCCCCAGGAGCCACAACCTGGGCGCGGAGGCGGCGGACGCGGCGCCCCCACCCCGGCCCGGATTGATGCGCCGCTCGGCGGGCGGCCCCAGGGTCGAGGTTCCCGTCGTGTCCTCCCCCTCCTGTTCGCTGCTGGGAATGAGCGTCCAGACGTGTTACTGGGTTCTTCTTTTCTTTTTAAAAAGGCTTTTTTTTTTTTTTTTCCACCTTCCCTTGGTTCAGTTAGCTTGTTTACAGGAAGGCATTGAACTGCGAGTTTGCAGGGACAGCTCAGACAAAGGAGGTGGTGGAAGAGCGCAAAACTAGTTCGTGATGGATGAAGTCTCAACCTGTATTTCGGAATCCGCACAGATTCCTTCCCGAAATCACAGGCTGCGCTGTATTGAATCTGGAAGGATGAGGCCCTTTTCTACCGTAAAAACGTGCCGTTTTTCTTAAGTGACAAGTGGAAGGAGGGTGGAGGAGGAAAATGGGCATCTTCCTTGTTGCTTTTGGCTCTTATTATGCCCCACCGGCTTTACTGTAATTTGACGCCTGAACATCTCACGTTACGACGAATCCGATGCCATTTGGAACCGGTACCCAAGTCTTCAGGTCATGAGAGTCTGCCAGAGGGGAAATAGGTAAAATTTTTGAGAGTTGTCTTTGAAGCCATTTGGCTTAATCTTACGTCTATCATTTGCTCTTTAATAATTTAGTATAAAGCATATATTTGTACAAATTTCTGGTAATGTTTTAAAAGAAACTTTTCCCACACTGTGGAGTATGATTTTGTTTGTTTTTGGCCCACAGTAGACTTTTTGAAAAAATGTCTACTATTTTCTCCATCCCTACCCACTCTCACTCTGAGAATGCTTAGCGGGGACTTTTTTTTAAAGCTGCTTTTCATGTTAAGATGACCTAAACTAGGCAACCTACATAAGGTGTTTGTTTTTATACTCTAAACTGTTAAAACCACGCCGCTTCTGAGATACGTGTTTGAAAGCGAACATGCTAAGCTGTTTTTTTCTTTGAGGCAACCTAGCTAGGGAAGAAGAATCAGGAAGGGCTTTCATTTCTCCAGTTTTCACCTTCCTTTCAAATGTTCATTTTTACATCAGTAATCAGTTGCTTAGTATGCACTTCTCATCTCCACTTTGTTAAAAAAAAAAAAAGGCAGGGTCCTGCCTTGCCCACAGTAACAACTTTGGCCTTTGGTTCATTCAGTAAATATTTGCTTGCTTGTTCTGTGCCAGTCACTGTGCTTGGGACACAAAATGTTGCCAAACTGTGGCACTGACAATGGTAGTCTGTTTTCTGGGGTTGAGATCTGTGAGGGTCACGTGGAAAAGGAGGAAGAGGGAGAGGCAAACTGTTGTGGAACAAAGACTGGCCCTGTGCAGTGTTTTGAAATCTGTGGTTTGTCTTTGGGTTCCTCTAGGCACCTCGAATCCATGATCCTCGCTTTAGATACTTGCCTTATAAGTGATCTGTGTTCTGAAACTACTTGTTGCTTGCCTGTCATTCCAAGCAAAAGCCCCATCTTCAGAAAACTTTTTTTAGGTGTTTGACTGGAAGGGTATTGGACACTGATGGGTGGTAAAGGTTGGTCTTGTTCCTCTGTCAGTGGGGAGGTTCCAGTTGTGCTATACATAAGCCTTATGACACTGGAGAAGTACTGTGTGAGTTTAGGAAAGTAATTTGGCCTTTTAGCCTCAATTTTGTCTGCAAAAGGGAACGATGAAATAGTTACACCTTAAGTTTATTGAGGGGTTTCTCTGGTGGCTCAGATGGTAAAGAATCTGCCTGCATTGTGGGAGACCTGGGTTCAATTCCTAGGTTGGGAAGATCCCCTGGAGGAGGGCATAGCAACCCATTCCAGTATTCTTGCCTGGAGAATCCCCATGGACAGAGGAGCCTGGCAGTTTGCGAAGGGTTGGACTCGACTGAGCGACTAAGCACAGCACAACACAAGGTTATTGAGAGGCTTAAATGGTGCCTGCATTCTTACAAGAGGAGATTTGTTAACCTAAATGAATATCTGAATTGGTGGAGTTTTAGAAATGGCATCAGTGTGAGTACATTGGAGCAGTCTTGGAAACTTGAGTCTGCAGTCAGTTCCCCTGGGTGTCTGTCTTCTCTTCGTTTCCTTGTTCTCTAGGGGCTCATTTTGTATCTGCACATCATGAGGTTGCTCAAGGTTTTTTTCATGGCATTGGTGGTGGAATCCTGCAGGTAGTTTGGGTCTGGCTTTCTACTAAGGGATCTGCACACATAGGTTCTTTCAATCCAGCAAATACTAATTGAAAACCTGCTGGTCCCAGCCACCCATCCAAGGTACTGGGGAAGAGGGAGGGGCCCCAGAAATAAGCAAAACAAATTCTTTCTCTTCTTCCTGAAGCTCACAGCCTAGTGGCATTTTAATGTCAGTTTACCTATAAACTGTTTCTAAATCAATGGACTAACATGAAATCTAAGAAGTTTTTGTGCTTTTGCAGCAGGAATTCAGGAATGTATTTTGTTTTTTTGTTTTTGTTTCTTGGCCATGCTATCTTTAGCGTGCAGAATCTTTAGTTCCCCCGAACAGGGATCGAGCCCATACCCCCACAGTTGACATGCAGAGTTCCAACCACTGGACCACCAGGGAAGTCCTCAAGAATGGTGGTAGAAATCTGTTAAAATTTTTCATGTTTAAGGAAATAGGTTATGTCTATTATGTCAGTGTACTCTAGTCACTCAGTCGTGTCTGGATATTTGCAACCACATGGACTGTAGCCCACCAGGCTCCTCTGTCAATGAGATTTCCCAGGCAGAAATACTGGATTGGGTTGCCATTTCCACCTCCAGGGGATCTTCCCGAGCCAGGGATGGAACACGGGTCTCCTGCGTTGCAGGCAGATTCTTTACCATCTGAGTCACCAGGGAAGCCCGTATATCTATTATACCTCAATTTAAAAAAAGAAAATAGCTTAAAATTTGAATAATATTTGGTTATTTCACATTATGATATTCTCAATTTAGTCTCAAATTTTAGTGCTTTTAGAAAAGATAATATATTCTGACTCTTGCGTGCTCGTAATTTTAAATTGAAGAGAATTTTTAGTGTGTTTATTGAAGATTTACTGTGTTGACACTAAACAAAGTGATGTTCAAATTACAAAAAAATAGTTATGAGACAGAATTACTGGCCAAAAAAGAACCAGCCATAGTCAATAGATGGGAAGTTAATAAAAATTAATTTTGAGGACAAGTGTTTGGTAAATATAAAGACAAAATTAGTTTTCTTAGAGCTTAACATGATAACTCGTTTTAATTCTTTGACTAGGTTGTGAAAGTAAAAACCTCTCTAGTTATTTTGCATTATTTCTGTAAGTTAGGCATGTATGTATTACTGGACAAGATTTATTTGTCCTATATCTTTAAAGAGTAATTTGGCAATTTCTTCCTAAATGCTTTGGTATTTTAGAAGTACATTTTGAAAAGTGTTAAACTTTATAAAATATTTCATAAACAAGTGTTGTACTTTGAAAATACATTCTGTATCATTAGAGTACATTTTAAATGGAGATTTATTGGTGATAACAAATTTCATATTTTAACTGTAAAGACTTAATTTTTTTGAAGTGAACTTTTGCAGGAACATGCCTTATATTTATTCACAGATACTGGTGGTGGTTCATGGTTGCTTTCTTATTACTAACTTACTCAAAGGGTGGGCTTAGATCTAGAAACAAATGTAAAATCTAGCTAGCATTTACTGTGGAACAGACATTGTAGATGTGCTTTGTGTGTGTGCACACTAACTTTTTGTTTGAGCGTGGAGGTGGGGGCTGGGAGAGAAGGCCCTGTTGTTGATGATGTCATTTTGTATGCAAATATGCTGCTGGGAAGAATTTGGTAATAGTCATTTTCATTGAAATTTTCAGGATTGGATGTTTAAGCCTTGGACAGTTATACCAAGTAATAAATTTTTTTTTGGTCATCTGGTTGACTAAAGGGATGCCATAACATTTTTTTAAAATCTTAGATTATGTTTTATATATGTGATTTTGTTGGACGAATCCATTAAACCTAAACTTGGTTTTCAAAATTCTGATTTTAGAGTGAAGGCAATCGATGTGGAAATAAGATCTTGGATGAAAAGGGCCATGAAATGTTAGATTGTATGATGCCAAAGGCAGGGGCTACCGGATATAGAGATTTCAAAATATTCAGAAAAAAAGTAGGTGTTATCCTGGAATCAGAGACCCTGAAAGGAAAGAGAGTTCAGAAGGAGCTGGAGGCTCTAAAAACCAAATTTGACCTAAAATAGATAACCAAGCAATATATGATAAATTGTATTTGTATTAAATTTTAACAATTTAGAAAATATTTTTACATTTTGTATTTTTCCTTTGCTTTTGGATGATTCATTAGCATATAAAATTTGAATATATATTTTTAAACCTCCGCACCAAATATGTATATCCTTCCTCTGTTCCATCTTTCTGTTTCTCTTTATAGCAAAGTGTTGTCTGTACTTTCTGCCTTAGAGTTTTCATCTTGCTATTCTTCACATTGTGAAGGTCTTTGTTGTGCCAGTGATTTGATAAAGACCTGACATATTTAACTTAAATATTGGACGGCAGGATCCTCAGCATCTCAATGTATGGAATGGTGGGCTGAAACTAAGAAAAGTTAATAGAAATTATTATGTAGTCTTGAATTTGGGTAAGAAAAAATTAGCTGCAGTGAAAGGAGTTGAGGGGAAATAAGGCTTCAAGCTGCACGTCATAGGACTAAGCCTCTGTGCACTCACTGACCAGCCCTTTCTAATCTTGCATGCATTTGAGCATCATATCCTGGGTAACACAGGTCCCACTTCATTATAGGCCAGGCACACTTTTAGTGCATGTTCATTTCTGAATATGAGTTTTAAGGGATGAACAAACTACAAAACATTGTTTTGAATATTATAAA